GAATGAATCATTAATTATTATACACATGTGTACCATAAATTTTTTGTAGCTCATTATTTAGACACCAAAAAGTTACCATAAAAATAATACATCCATTAAAATATTATTATTTATAAAAACTAATGCAACTGGGTTGTCCGTAAGAATTCATTTAAAGTGTTTTTTTTTCAACAACAACTTTTATCCTGGTACCAGGTTTCCATTAAGTGAAAATCTACAATACGGTGAATTAACTCATTAATATTTTATCGTTGATTGAATATCGTCTGCCAGTGAAGAATACAAAACACTACTGTCAATATGAAGCGAAAAATGTTTACTGCGATAAAATTGATCTTCGCGTCCGATTTGCCCACGATTACTTCGTATAGAAATACGCAGAGGCATAGCAAAGGGGGAGAATAAAGGGACCATATCCTTCCCTTCCTTATAGGTCGTGCATTTATGCGTATATACTAAACTAGTATACTACTATTTGGTATTTAAATATTTTAAATCTTTGGTACTAATTAAATGTTGACGAAATCTGGTTGTTTGTTTTTGGTAAATACATAAGCGTCTTACTTCTACCATGATTACTTCTATCTTTATGTTGTTTTTCGTGAACATTGTGACGACTCTCGTCCAACACATTTTATAATCACTATAGTTTTAAAATCATGTCTACCACTGACCACCGTTTATTTATTATTATAATTAATTATATTTTAATAAATATTATTAAACCTATTTTAAAATACTGAAAATACATTTTTAAATTGAATGGGGGGAGGTGGTTATGAGTGAACTCTCAAAAAATTGCTTACCTAATCCGCTCGAAAAACTGTTTAGCTATTCCCGTTTGAAAATTCGGACTATGCCACTGTAAATACAAATTTCGATCACCGAACTTAAAATCGGAACTAGTTAACGATATGAAGTGTTCAAAATAACAATACTATCTTGTTTAAGAATACGATATTGTATAGGTAAGAAGTTTAGCTTGGGAAAATTATAAAACCGATATCGCACGGAAAAACTCCGATTGTACGTATGATAGTCACGCGAAACGTATTCGTTCTGTATGGTATTGTATATAAATATGTGTATAAATGTATAATTCTTTGGACAAAAAATAATTTTTTACCCGGTCGACAGTATTTGGTAACGGATAGGGCGAACGTATCTTATACCGGAAATCAAAGGATACAATACGCAACGTATAGGATAACCTGGTACCATGGTACAGCCACCAAGACGCGCCTGAACCCGCCAATACGGGATTTAGAGGGTCGTAGAAAACTAAGACAATGTACGGTCACGTGCATATCAAATGAAACGGAATTTCTCGGGAAGAATATATTCTTCTCGAGAAATTCCGTTTATATCTTTTAGGAGTTATAACTCCTACAAAATGAATGTTGTAGACACGTTAGCCGTTTTCGGCGAATTTTCCGTATAGATACGAGAGGGGAATGCGAAACAGAGAAACTGTAGCGCAAATGCAGACGATTTATTTCCCCAGTGCTGCAGCGCGACAAAACGCGTATCCTGCGTACTAGACCTACGTAAAGTGCAGGTCCTTGAACGGTCAAATGGCGTATCGATTTTTAAAAGTTAAGCGCGGTAGTGCACACTCGTAAGAATACAACAAACTCGTCCGTCGGTGCGTGAAGTACACCGATTTCCGTGCACGCGGTCGATGGCGCAATAAATCTATCACTTCAGGGCTTACCACCATACGGCAGGCTTACGCAGAAGATAATGTAGACAGGATCGCCGCATTCGCCCTCCTACGCAAGTTGTACGTTTGGCGAATCGGGAACTGAGTAATACACTTTCAACTTGTTTTTCGTCGGTTCAATTTATATTTCTCGGAGCTGAAAGATCTCGCGTACCGATCCAGGCCGTAACCTCCACCTCCACGCACTTGAATCCCTTTACGCAGCACGTCCGTGGCGAAAAGTTGATATAAATATATTTAATACACGTATGACGTATTTACTGTGGTGCAGTGGCGTTGCCAGAGGGAGAGAGTTAAAGATTATACCCCCTCCTCAAATGTCTCTCTTATTTCGTAAGATGTACAATAACATTACATTACATTTATTTACTTTCGTACGCGCTAGTGGGCCCAATGGTTACATTACAAAAACATTTAGTACATAGTTGGATATTACATACAATTTAAAGATATAATAATAAAATAAAAACAGAAAAAATGTATAGTACACAATATTGAAATATAATATATATAAAAATTAAAAAAGATGCAGAAAGTTAAATAAAAGAGTGATGTGGTTTAATATTGACAATCTTCATCATTCTAATCAGCAACATAGTTTGTGTAACAAACAAGAGTAAAAAACGGATAGTGATACGTGAGACTAAAGTAGGTATTTTGAAATTAATGTAAGAAATTATATATTAGGATATTAGAAGAAACAATTTTACCTGAAATCATATCATGTCATCATCAAACAATTTTCACAGGTTCAACAAACTAAATGATAACAAATTTTACATTTTAACTTAATGGACTTATTAAAATTAAATATTTGATACTTAATTAGGAGAAAGAATTGAAAATGTAAAATCCTGCCCAAAATATTTTTCTGGCTATTTCACTGATGGTGCAATTAGCGTTTTACCAGCACATTTTACCGAAAATAGGTACGTCCTCGTCGTTTATTGCCCTAGTAAAAACGTCCGGAATAACAAATAATATATATATATATGTGTGTGTGTGCGTGTATGCGCGCGCGTAGTATACATTAAACTTTATATACGTGATACACGAACATGTCTTTTGCGGTGTTTTAGTCTCGAGAAAATAAAAGTTAATCGAATAAAACACGAAGACGACGACGACACGGACGGTCGTTCGTAAATAAAATAATATCACTACTACGGTGCACCGCTGGCGCATGCACATGCGGTGGTCCGGGATAAAAAAAAAGTCGACGCACGTGCACAGACTCGCCGATCCGAGCGCGTATACGTAATACATAGAGGTACGGTGTACGAAGAACTCGAGCGAATAGTGAAAAATCTATGGGAGAAACGTATTTGCAGATAGAGGTACATTATTATTGCGCGAGCAGCGGCCGATAACACGAAACGTAACTGTACACGGTGTGTTGCTGCAAGACGCAAAGGATATTTTTTTCTCGCGTGATGTACACATACATTTATGTACAGGTATATCCCGTCGCCGCCGGAAGTTTTTAGACTTTTATACTCTCCAACGTTTTCCCGCGAGTTTTTCCTGTTACATGGCCGTTTTTTTTTTTCACGTACACGTAATGAACCCGTCTCCTGATCAATTGATGTTTCGTTTTGTCTTCGTTTTGACGCACGTGCAGAGCTTTTCGCTTACGTCGGGGAGAGATTATACCTGCGCGCACGACTCTGCGTAACGATGAACATAATATATCCGTTGAAACGCCCCGTGTAGAACAGAACACCAATCAATTACCGTCTGCATCCGCACACAAACACGCATATATACACATATATGTTCCTGTCACATCCATTTCTGTACCGTTCGGTGTTCATAAAAAATACAGCTATACAGCAGCAAAAAGGCAGGAAATGGTGGATGGGGGCTATTAAACTCCCTCCCGAAATATAAATTAGTATCGTGTTTATCAGAATTATAATATAAATATCATTTTACTCGTTCGTTTGAAAAACACGACGGCTGAAGTTATTACGTCGAATATTAAACGTGACTCCGTTTTTTACGATACTGGCCATTACATTATTGTCGCTGAGGTTTAGCTTATTGCAGTGGTGTTGCAAGAGAAATGATTTAATAGATAAACTATAAACTTTTTATATCTGCCTGAGATTGTTTTCATCATTTCGTTATTCAAACCTAAATAACTGCACGTATAACATAACAAATAAACACCACAACAGTATTTAGATAATTTACTGTAATCAATAACTAGTTCATGTTTTAACCAAAGAATATTTTATTTGCAACAATAACATTATATTCAAGTATAAGTCAGTGATGCTGTTGAGCTTGAAGATGCGATTCCTTAGAGCGCGTCTATAGACGCGCGACCGATGCGGCTGACTCTAATTTTGGTCGCGCGGCTGATAGCGTATTCCCTAGAACTACAAAACGCACCGCAAGAGACGCGTGATACACATTTTGATATAATATCAAGTATTCACTACATTGTTGTACGTTCTATTGATTATACGTGTTTGGTTATAATTATTATTATACTTTTTTGTATTTATCATTAATTTTCAAACTAGTGGACAATGTTACGTCAGCAGAAGAAAAAGAATATTAATTAATCTTCTATTAGAAGAAATAGAAGAAGAAGTTTTTATTGAAGAAGTTATAACAAAAAGAGTGAACGATATTTATTCAATGAGAAAAGAGGAGGGGTTTTTTAGTATATTGATTGAGAAACATTTGTTTAAAGATGAAAACAAATTCAGAAAATTTTTAGATTGAGTTGGGAACAATTTAATTATGTTTTAAATTTAATCGAATACGATGATCTTCTTTTTTTTTGCTTTAATAAACACCCGTTTTATCCTAATCACATTTTTATCCGTGTCCCTATATCCTGACTTAATTCTGATCAGGCTTGGATACAAATCATGTTTTTTTAATAATAATAAAAATAACGAGCACGCGGTCATATCCTAACTGCCTCTGGCGCAGTCATCGCCGCGCAGCTCTAGACGCACACGGCAGTCGCACGCTACAGCCGCGGTCTTAGGAATCAGCTGCGTATAAAAATAGCAGTAGTAGTACTAGCGCGTCCAAAATTAGAGTCGCGCCGCGTCATTCTAAGGAATCACACCTTTAAGGTTAAATCAGCATCACTGGACAACATGACGCACGTATACTAAAAATAAAAAAATTAAATTAAAAGTTTTCGTTGCGGTGGTATTCCGCACGAAAGCAAAAATTGTGGATTTCAAGTAAAACATCCAAAAGAGAAACTGTTTGCAGCCCAATCGTATGCATGTGCGTGAAAACTAGCAGAACGATGATGGGAAAATATAAACCCGAATGTTTTCGCGTCATTTTTGCAGTAACATCGCAACGCGGTTGTCGTTCAAGTGATCGGCATCGATTTGTTGGGCTCCGACACGGACACTTTTATGAACCCTTTGCAGTTCGCCTGAAACGAGTACATGATCATGGACGATTTATTATTGCATCGGACCCTGTACGCGCAAGTGCACGTGGTGGCCAGGTCGAGATTTTCAATCGAATCCACGCTGTTCGAGTAATTGCAGTAACCCTGTAACAGCGTCACGTCCACTGGCCCGTCAGTGATCATGTTCGTTCTGTACTGACTGCACAATTCCACGCACATATTTTCGCCTCTTTTGGTGAACCGTATGTCGGATATGGAGTCGGCTACCAGCGAAACGTGCATCTCGCAAGTGTTTATCGCCTTTTTCGTAGGAAACATAGGACCTGTTCTCGATGTTTTACAGCAACAACAAAAAATACGTTGTTATTACACTTAAAGTCGAAAATTATTTATTTTAAGAAGAATACGATTGAAAAAAAGCCAATGTACGTTACCCAACACTTCCAGGGGATCTCTAAACAAGCCGGTTCCTTCGGGAGGATAAGCCATCTTAACCGCCTCACCAACGCTTTTCTCGTTATTGTTGTTGGTGTCTACGATGCATCGATCCTTGACATAGGTCTTCGGCGTATGAGCGGGTTCAGTGATCGCTGGAACAAACGCATGTTACAGACAAATCTTTACGATTCCTGAATTTTATTAAAAGTTACGTATTGGCCGGCACCAGACGACTGGATGCAACTGCAGAATCGTGATGATAATAAAGGAAACCAACATCTTAACGAAAATGCACGATGAATGTAGTATACCTAAATGTAATTACAAAGTATGTAAGCGAATAAGCTGAGAAAAAATACAAGTGAATAAAACAAATATTTTATTTCAAACGAAGAAATTGTGTCTCCGTAGTTTCACATTATGTATAATTTTAAACCGTTT